ACAAGAAAAATTTCTTCTTCACACAAGAGTGTAACGTGAGAGAGAGAGAGATAGGGTGGCTAGGGTTTTTGATTGAATGAATATATCACCTTGTTTTAATTTTAAGTTGCACTTATATAGTGCAACAATTAAAACCCTATTCCACTTAAGAATAGCCATGGGCTCCAACCCTAGTTCACCCTTGCAACCAAACACACCCTTTATGGTATTTTAATTAATTAATTATTATTATAATTAAAATCAATTAATATATAATAATATATTAACATTTAATTAATAATAATAATTCATTTAAATATAATCTCACTAACTTAATTTTAATATTAAAATTAAATACAGGCAACAACCTCAGCAAATTTAATTACACTATGAGATTACCAAAATACCCTTTCGTCTTGAAAGACGAAAGTACCCTTCTCACAAATTGATTCTTAAATTATCTTCTAAGTGTGTGACCCGTAGGCTCTTCATCATATCGGCAATGTGTAGTATCGCGATTAACACCATTTAATCGCCTCACTACATACAGACCAAGATTGGCCCCTAGCAAGGCATCATGGCCACCTGATAGATTCGGATTCAATGAAACTGCAGCCTGTCACGGTATGGTTACTGTGCAATCCAATAATTTCATCATCTGTTATCTTATCCAAATTGAGGTACAAAAATAGTGTCAACCTCAGATATCCTCGACATGTTTGTATTCAGTGAATGGACCAATGACCGGAATAATAAATTGGATTAAGCATCAACTCAATCCCACTGTGGCCATATATTTAGTGTCATTGTCATTTACTGAATTACCTAGTGAGATAACTTCTCCCGTACCCAAAAATAATGAATCCTTTGTCGATCCACCATAGTCTCGATACACTTCTCAATGTAGCCAATCACTACTGTATTGATAGCTCTGAATAGAACTACGTTGGGCTAGTGTCAAACTACACCAATTGGTGCACAAGGCGCTCTGGTGATCTCAAGTCTAAGGATCACATACACCACCATCCGTTAGAGGATTTATTTCATAGACACTAGGGTTACCATCTATATGGAATCCTCTCGTGAGTCTGTCCAGTGAACTTGCCTCTAGCAAGCACCTATGTGTTGCAGCAGGTTATCGGCAAACAACCTTGGCAAATGAGATCAGTCACTATCTTTCGTTAGGGTTGTTCAACACTATGATAGTCTTACCATCACTATGATAGTCTTACCATATTATTTGTGTCCTTGGTCAGAATAATACTGGGGCTACGGACGTTTCTAGAATGGCCACCATATATGATCATAGGGTTCTCACTATCAAGATTTAAAACACTTGATACACTCTTCAAGGTTCTACCATCCTAAGGACATATATCATTACATGTAACTATGATTTACACGATATAGAAGAATATGTCTTTTATTGATAAATAAACATTTATTACAGAGTTAATTTTACAATAATATTAAAATGATAGTACTCCAAATACTCTTTCAAAAGTCCATTTACTATGGACGATCGTCCATTGTATATGGATGGCCGTCCATTGTATATGGATGCCCGTCCGTATTAGATGGACAGGAGTCAATCATTTTGGTTTTAAAATTTTCTAGACGGGTATGGACGCCTATCCATAGTAAATGGACACCTGTCCATATAATATGGACGGGGTCTATTGATATTTTTGTGGATGCTCGTCCGTTCATGATGAACGGTCATCCATAAAATATGGATGGTAGTCCATTCATAGGAAAGGTGTTTTCTATCCAATATGTATGTGTCTAACTTGATGCCACGTCGTTCGATACAAAAATTTGGTGCTTGTAGCATTATTATTTCAACTCATCCCATGCCACGTGTTCACCAAAATCCCATCAACCTTGGATATCTGGAACTATGAAAGATATATTTTAACTTATCAAAACTGGTTGGCAATCTTAAAAGACTTAAACCCTTCTAGTCTGAACAGGTCTACTATGAGAACATTTGGATTGACTTCCATGATCGCAATTACAGATTGGAGATTTGGGTTACATTCACGCCTTATCAAAGCTAGTTGATTATTGACTGCTGCATCTGGATCTACTAGCGATTTGATAACTACGCAACCAAGTTCCATAACGATGAGATTCTTGTATTCGGTGCAAAAAGACAAAAGTAATTAAAGAAAGTAAGAGCTAAAAGACAAATACTCCTAAAAATAGGAATCGGGTAACTAAATAGAAAGCAACACATCAAGTCTTTCAACCTATAACCAAAGACTGATTAAACCCCACTAACTAAAAAGACTATTTTGAAGCAGACTTCAACAGAGAGATTAAGCGGACCTTGTCGGCAGTTGTTAGATTAACATCTCGCAAGTAATTGAAGTATCCGTTAGACAACAAATATAGTAACGTAACCTGGAACCCATGCTGGTTGAGTCAGGCGACTANTGTAAATAAATGGGCTGGACTGTCCAATATTTGACCCCATAGGATCTGAAAATCTTTAAACAAATGAGTTGTATGGTGGTAGGCATGTGAAGTTGATAATGGTAGCATGTATAGAATAGGACAAAGGAGAATGTGGAGAGTTAAAACAAATGTGAAATATGTACATAAATCATTGAAAACGAATGTGAAGATTATGATTTAATCTTAATTGGGTGTTATATTGCGTATGATTATTATTTTGGTATTTTTTAAATTGGGGCTGGGCTTTATATGAGAAGTTGAAGGATAATGGTGGTGATGGAAATGGATTTGGTTTCATGAGCCCCAACGCATTGTCTATAGCAGGTAGCAGTAATGTCATGGGAACAAGAACTCAAAGGGCACAATTGCTTACCAATTGGTTGGCAATTGTTAAAAACGAGAATTTAATTATAGTTCCATAGAATCCAGGGTTAGTAATTCATTCATTTCCTTACATTGGGTTCTTGCTTGATGATTATTTTATTGCTTCTTTGTGGTTGTTATGTTGGGTACTTATTAGGTTTCTTAATAGGTTTCATTGGATTCTTGTTAGTATTAGCATGAAGACTTTTAACTGTGTACTATCTTGATCCCTTGAGAGGAGATATGGGACATGATTTACAAGAAGTGGTGCAAAAGTTAGTAGCCCTACTTATGTCATTTTTTACGCTTTATATAATATAAATTTCTGCTCATAAATTTAGAATTTGTTTTTTAACTTTCACAGTGGTATCTTCATTCATTCCGCCTGTAAGAAGTCCAAAAAAAGGGGCTACTATCACATGGCAAAAAGTATTGGTGAATAGAATTGTTATTATCAATAGCAATTAATTTTCCATTATAATAGTGTTTTACCTTTTGAATAATGCTTACTTTCGAATTAATATTGTGTAGGGACCAATCCAACTGGGAAGTGTTGAATGTGGGTTTTATGTAATGAGATGCATGAGAGATATAGTTGACAATGGGTTGGCAGTACTAAAAAACCATGTAAGTTTTCTTTCCATTTGGATTTCAATAAGTAACGTTGATTAGGATGTATAGTTAATGCAGATGTTATTCTATGATGTTGGTATAGTACACTATTGAGTATGGTCACAACTCGCAAGTATACTGCAGACTTTTCGTTCTATGATTATCAGTTGAAGTGATTGTTAGTTGAATTTTTATGATTTAGTTGTAGAAAATGTTTCTTGTTTATTGTTTCAAAAGGAAATTAGCCAAATTAAAATAATCATAAGTTGAGTTGATTGAGATTTCTGACTAGCTAAAAGGTTTCCATTTAGATTATTGTTCGAATTCTCTCTTGTTTATTATTCTAGAGACAATTCAATCTTAGCTCCAATGAATCTGAAAAATTATCATATCATGAATTCACGAATTTTAAATGTAAGATAATCTCTTGCAAAGTAAATTTGAGTTTGATAAACCAGCAGTACATAAAGTTTACACCCTTAACGGGCGTAATAGACATTAGGAAGGTTGTTAAGGGAGTAGGGTCCACAAAGCACAGGTGTCATGGATGAGAGTCTGTTTTGAGAATATGAATTGTGTGAGTGAGGGTAATTGTGGAAAGGGGAATTGTATATAAGCAGGGAGAGTCGTAGCAGCAGGGTTATCTTTTTGGCATTGATAAAACAGTGGAGGTTCCTGGCTCCTCGAATCGCCAGGGTTTATGGTTACATTCCAGNTTTTTTGTAAATGAGATTGTTAGAAAAATGTGATAAGTAATCTAGGGTATTGCATACAACATACAACCTAAGTTTCACAATTCGAGAAGTTATATATTCCTAACAGATATATGACTAACGTGCTCTCGAAGTATGCATGGTCACACGGCATATTTACTAAGGTATGAACCTTAAAGAAGCATAGAGAGAGATAGTCACATCATGTGTGAGTGGGAGATATTGGATAAGGGTACACCCATGATGGGTTACCCCAAGCGACGTGTATGAAATGAAACTGCCAAATGCAGTTTCTCTGTAACCGCTACATATAAAAGAAAAATTTCTTTCTTTTACATGAACATTGTCACTCTCAAAAACGCAAAAAGAAAATACGCTCTCTCTCTCTCTCTAGAATTTGGAAAACAGAAATACGATTTGTGGTTTTTCTTCCAGATTACTTTGTTGCTTCAGAGATAAGGAAATGAGATATTTATGCTGTGCTAATTCATTGTAGTTCATTTATGTACAAATGTGATTACAATGGTGACTATGATCTTGGGATAATGTTAGGATATATGTTATTCTATGTTATTTCCAACAGTTATGTAAGACCAGCTCCATATAACAAAATATAATTTCAAGTTCTTTTTCGTTTTCTTCTGTAAGATAGAAACTCAGATCTTGAATCATTCATTTCATGGGAAAAATAAAACCAATTGTTATGGGAATATAATAAACAAGAGAGTATGTAGCAAGCAAAATAGTATGCATACACATAGGAACTAAATAATATTTTCAATAATGCAATCGCCAGCATCAACTTCTTTTATTTATTTTTTCTGTAACACTAGCTCAGTAAAAAGCTAACTATAGCTCTAAAACATAAAACAACTAAAAACATTTTCTCACGATAGCGCAAAATTTGATCCAAAGGCTATCCAAGAAATGAAAATGGATAACCCTCCACCTCCTGCTGATAAGTAAAGGACTTATTACACCCCAGAAACCCACCATAAATCCAAGTGCCATGCCTACATAGAACCAGTCAACTTCATGTTCATTACCATCATCATTTCCTCCTCCACTATCATGGTCCGACGTTGGAATAGTTGCAGTGCAGTTCTTGATAAGTGGCGGTCCACAAAGTTCATTGCCTGTGAAAGAAGATGCCTCAAGGGATTGTAACTGAGTGGACAAAGGAATTTTTCCAACTAAGTTATTGTTGGATAAATTCAAGGAGCTCAAGAACGACATACTTGAAATGCTCTGTGGAATTTTACCAGACAACTTATTTCCAGAAAAATCAACACACTCCAACGATAGCATAACACCGATATTCTCAGGAATTCTACCGGTAAAATGATTATGTGACAAATTCAATAATTTCAGTGCTCCAAGATTTGTCAATTCTACCGGAATCTCTCCTGAGAAATTATTATTGGAAAGATCTATAGCTCTTACCAAGTTAAGAATTGTGCTATACTCGAATATCCTCCCTTTCATCACAAGTGACGCATCCTCAAGAAAATCCTCGGGAGAAAAATACGCATCTGACGAATAGTCAATATTGTTTTCATCCACCTGTACAGAATGATTCTGAGTAGTCATGGCACTGAAATTCCCGATACACCTTGGTATGATTCCCCAAAAATTGTTATTCGCAAGGTCTACGATTTGTAGAGAAGTGAGATGGCAAAGTTCCACCGGTAAAAGTCCATAAAACTTATTTGAATGAAGGTTGAGAAATTTCATTCTTGAAAAGCTTTCACCTATCCACGCTGGAATGTTTCCAGTAAACTCATTTTTACTTGCGTCAAAGGCTTGTAACTTTGTACAATTTTTAATTGACACAGGTAATGGTCCAGAGAGCTTGTTGTTGCGAAGGTGTAGTGATTGAAGAAAACTTAAAGTTCCAATGGTGGTTGGAAGATTACCAGTAAATTTGTTGTAATTTAATTTCAAGACAATTAAGTCTTGCCAATTCACCAAACAATCTGGTAATTCTCCGTGGAAGAAGTTTTTGCTAAGGATGAGAATTTGCATCAATCTCTTTGCCTCATTCATCTTGTAACACAAGAAGTGAGAAATTGATCCTGACAAACTGTTGTTGGAAAGGTTGAGTTCATGCATGTTGAAGGGTGTGAGAGGCAATGGACCTGATAAATTATTTGAGCTTAAGTCCAGTGAATCAAGTTTTGATGACTCCATTAGATTTGGAATCTTTCCATACATTTGGTTGTGAGAGAGATTCAGGTGAACAATTTGGAAAGGGGCTTTAAATAAATAAGCAGGAAGAGTATCTAAAATACTTGAGTTGGATATATCTAGAACAAGTAAATGCTTTTGTGAATGAAGCCAGGATGGAAATTGAGACCCCAAATGACACGACCTCAATAGCAAAATTTGAAGTTTAAACGGCGGGATCCACTCAGCACTGTTTTTGAACATTAGAGAACTTCCAGATGCAGCAAAACCTATCAATTTTGTGAGACCGGAAAAGTGGACTTCAGAAAGAGTTTCATTCAATTTGTTATCTGAAAGATCTAGAATTCGCAATGAGGAAAGCTCTCCCAAAGATGATGGAAAAGGACCAGAAATAGAGTTGTTAGTAAGATCAAGAAATTCTAAATTTTTAAATTGTCCGAGTTGATTTGTCAAATGACCAAAAAGATTACTGCAAACCAAATACAGAGACTCTAATACTTCATGTATGTCTTGATTCAAATTCATCAATGACATAGAGATTGACCGTAAGTTGCAAAATCTTCTAAAAGATGTCAGGACTGCCCCTTCAAGATTACTAGAAGAGAGATCAAGTGTTTTGAGAAAACTCAAGTTTCCTACAGCACTTGAAATCGTTCCTTGCCAGTGGATGCCAGCAAGGGAAAGGTCTTCCAGACGGCCAAGTTTGTACAACCAGTTTGGTACTGATGAATTGAAATCATTGTAACCTAAATTAAGATACTTAAGAGATGTCAAGTTTTGAAGTCCATCAGGTATTGTACCTTGAATATTATTACCACTCAAATCAAGGAAGGTTAAAGATGAAAAATTCACAAAAGACAACGGAGGAAAGCGATGAAGACCACAATTTGACAAACTTAAAAACTGTAAAGAAGGAAGTGCATTTATCACCAGAAGCTCTTTTGAGGCTTTACTTATGTTAACATCGCTCAAATCAAGCTTCTTTAACAAAGAAAGACCGGACAACCAAGAAAAATTCTCAACATATAATGACTGGAAATCATTTTTATGACCGAGATCAAGATATTGCAGATTAGATAAATTTCCAAGTTGGTGAGGAATTATACCCTCGAATCCAGCTGAAGAGAGATTAAGGTATCTTAGACTACCCATAGAACCAAGAAATTCAGGAATTTGAATCTCTTTAAAATTATTTGCGCTTAAGTCCAAGTAAGTCAAATGCTTTAAATTAAGCAAAGAGGGATTTATCTTACCACCAAACCTTGACCTTCGCCGATCTATTTGAGCAGAGAAATCATATGATATGGGATAGGACTCACTTGTAAGGTGGAGCTCAAGGACGTTGCCTGTGAAGTTGTTGCAGACAACACCTTCCCATGTGCAACAATCTCCGTCACCATTCCAAGATGCAAGTCGGTTGGAAGGATCTTCAAGATCTTGCTTGAACCTTAAAAGTGCTTCTCTCTCACTTTGAATACAACCCATGTAAGAGCTTCCATTGCAGAAGCTAATATTGATGGCTGTTATGGCAAGTAACTCAAGCAAAAGAAATGCGACAACGCTCATGATTGTGGTTTTGAAGGCTTAAAATGTATACGGTATAATTTATCAATAGGTTAGTATTTATAGTCTTGTTCCACCCATCAATAAAACTTAATATAATCCGTGCACATTACGTGCCGTGCCGACCAGTGGGTTGGTGACTTTTATGAAGTACCAAGTCAACAATAAGAAATAAAAAATTGCACGTGAAATCAATTTATGGTCAATTACCCAAGAATCCAATTTAAAGAATTTGTAAATAATTTAATTCCACGCGATAACTGAAGAATAAAGAAAGTTTATGGTGTTGTTGCTGAAATACCACAAACTGATACATGTACACATTGTAATTTTCATATTTAAAAGGGGTTTTTTCTTGACCTGCTTGAGGTTTAATTAAATAACGAAAGTCCCGTTAGCATTAGTTAACCATTGCAATTTATAACGTGATAGATTAATAGATATTTACCTAATTACCCATTTACCGTTTATTTTATTATTGAAAAATCAACGGTAAAGAATTTCTATTATTTCACTAACCACATGGGAAACTTTTGTTATTTGAATTATTGTTATTAACCCTATTTAATAAGTACTCATAAATGATAACATAAATTCTCAGTTAGCTATATAGATGATATATCTAGTGATATTTTAAATTTTTTCTAACAAAGAAAATTAGTTTGGAAAAGTAACAAATGGTCTAATTGATATCTCATTAAGTATTAGTTTATGTTACGATGATTTGGCTCTTGAGATGCCCTGATTCTGTGCTCTTTTACATTTTGGTTTCATTTTACGTGTATTATTATTCCATATTCAAGATTTTCCTTACTAAAAGAATCAAAATTTCCAAAACGCTTTAATTAGTTATCAACTCATCATGTCATCCAAAATTTTCAAGAGCAATCAATACGTTTTGAAGTCAAGAAAAGAATTGCATTAACACATGAAGCACACGAGAGACTACTGTACAAGTGATAATTGAATGGTTGGTGAAAATGTTGAGAAAATTCAATGAAGAGACTTGAAATACGTAAGATGAAACTTTCCAAAAAGCGATATTTGCCCCCTTTAAATTTGTATATATGAGCGATTATTCATCTATATTTACCTAATCGCTCGTCATATGAGAAAGAAGTAGTAAGGAATTATTACATAACCCTTCATTTTCTTTAGTGGTTCAAAAACAATTGGACTACTTGATTTATCTCATTAAGTATTAATTTATGCTACGATGATTTGACTCTTGAGATGCCCTAATTAAGTGTTCTTTTACACTACGATTTATTTTACATGTATTAATTATTCCATATTCAAGATTTCCTCTACTAAAAGAATCAAAATTTCCAAAACACTTTAATTAGTTATCAACTCATCATGTCATCCAAAATTTTCAAGAGCAATCAATACGTTTTGAAGTCAAGAAAAGAATTGCACTAACACATGAAGCATGCAATAGACTACTATATAAGTGATAACTGAATGGTTGGAGAAAATGTTGGGAAAATTCAATGAAAAGACTTGAAACACGTAAGATTACGCTTTCCAAAAAGCGATATTTGCCCCCTCTAAATTTTTATATATGAACGATTATTCATCTATATTTACTTAAACGATTAATAGCTTGTCTTATGAAAAAGTAGTAAGGAATTATTACATAACCCTTCATTTTCTTTAGTAGTTCAAAATCAATTGGACTACTTGATTTATCTCATTAAGTATTAATTTATGCTATGATGATTTGACTCTTGAGATGCCCTAATTCTGTGCTCTTTTACACTTTGGTTTTATTTTGAGTGTATTAATTATTCCATATTCAAGATTTTCCTTACTGAAAGAATCAAAATTTAACGTGACAACTGAGTTGGTAACTTCTCTCATAAACAATCGAAGACATAAAATGAGTTGGTAACTCCACCACACCCAAGACATAAAATGAATTTGACTAGACCTGAGAAATGACCGTTCATAAAATGAATGGTCATTTCTCACGGAAGGAATAGTCGTTAAGGAACAACCATTCCTTCCTTATGAAACGGATCGTTCCTTGAAGGAACGGCCATATATGAATGAAAAACAACCATGGAACGGTCATTCTTTGTAAAGGAATTATCATTCCTTCATACGAAAATGGACATCTCGTATGGAATGGTCATTCCTTCATATCCATTCTTTATGAAGGAATAGTCATTCCTTCACAAGGAACAACTGTTTGTCCCTAAGAAACGACTGTTTATATTTAGTCAAAACTGTCAGTTGACGTGTTAATGTCAACTCAGATGCTACATCGATTTGTGAGATTCGTTTGTCAACATGGTATTACCCTAACATTATATAGTGAGGCCTTGTTGTTTTTACGAACTTATAACAACTCCTTTATATTTAAGGTCATTTAGTGACTCTTCTTCAAGTATATAAGAGCTTATTAAAATAGAGTTTATCATAATAGAGTTTATGATGGAAATATAGATCCTAATATGTTCGTTTGCGTTTTTTTTCCTTGTTTTCTGAATTTTTTACTTTGTAAACCGTGACAAAGTTGTTTACTTACAAACCACATTATCTGATTTCATAAATTGCAAAAAACAATCTGCTTATTCACGAGAAAAAGGCGCAAGTTATGATTAGGGATGGGCGTCGGCCGAGCCAAGGCCGAGGACCCCATTCCCCGTCCCCAATATCTGCTCCCATGACCATCCCCGGTGGCGGGCACAATTCTTGTGACTGTCCTTGGCCTGTGGGGATGGAATCACTCCCATCCCCATCTTGGCCCGACCCGATGAATGGGGTTTCACGAGGAAATTTCCCCGTGGGGATTTATCCCAGAATTGGGAATTTTTCAATTAATTAATTACAAGGATGATTGAATTTGTGTAATTTGTAATCCGCTAAGCAATTGTGTATATTCTTATATTGGTTTGGTAAATTGTAATAATCTAATCAAATTTATTTTTAGGGCATGTATTATTATTTTGTGAATTTCACAAAGTAATAATACATATATTTAATTATTATACTCCCTCGTTTAAAATTATTTTTTCTATAAATTTAATACAAACATTAGAGAGTATTATAAAAGTAAATATCGTAAATTTAGATACATTATGTAATAACTCTTTCTAGCTATTATACTTTCGGAAATATAATATGAAGTCACTAAATATATCATAGAAAATATATACGTATTTAAGTACAAAATAGTGGGCCCAAAAATTTCTTTATATTAACAAAAGTGTCATATACATAAACTCATACATAGTAGGCAGTAGTGTCATTCTCCTCCGCTCTCGACATTCCATCCGACCGCTCCTCACCTATTTCCTGCAAAAACAGAGAAATCAACAAAATGAGCACTAATGGCTCAGTAAGTAAATCTGTTATGCTACCCTTCTATCTCCGTTGCTCATATTCTGAATTTCTTTCCTTACATCACACTTTTCCATTTTTCTCAGTTCTTTCTTCGTTCTTTCTCTGTTCTTTCTCTATTTCTAGTTCTCTCTGTTCTTTCTTTATTTCTAATTTCTCACTACTCATGATAGTAGGCATGGTATCATGCATAAGTATGATGCAAAAGCACAAATGCATATGATGTGCATTTTCTTTTCTGTTTTTCTGCTCCTTATTCTGTTTTTCTTTCTTTTCTATGTTTCTTTCTTTCTATTTCTCTTCCTTCTTTCTTTTCTTTCTATTCTCTCTTCTCTTTCTATTCTTTTCTTTCTTTCTTATTCTTCTCTTTCTATTCTTTTCCTTCTTTCTTATTCTTCTCTTTCTATTCTTTTCTTGCATTCTTTCTTATTCTTTGCCGATCGGACTCAGTTGAGGCATGGATTCAGAACCCTAGTCGTGTGAGTGAGTACAGTCCTTATCTACATGCACTTCTTATGAACTGTATAATTCTTCTTCTTCTTAGGCCACTCACTAAAGGCGGCGTGCATGTAGATATATTCTTCTGGGTACAGTCCTCATCCACATGCACTCTTACGAACTGTACAAATTTTTCTTCTTATTCTTAGGCCACTCACTAAAGGTGGCGTGTATGTGGGAATATTCTTCTTCTTGTCACTCACAGGTTCCCCATCGCAATCACCTTATTTTCTCTTATCTTTCTTTTAAAAATTAGTATTCAATTTCTTTTCTTTTCTTTAATGATTTTATTTTCTTTCTTTGTTCTTTAATATTCTTATATGCATGTACGCATGTAAATGGGCTTTTCTTATTGTTCTTTCTCAATTCTTAATTAAATGCGAGGATGCAATATGGCATGTAAACATGGCATTCTCTACTTTCTCTACCATCTACAAACTCATATCAAAATAATAAATCAACATACTCATACATGCACTTCTCTATAAAATTTCATCAAACACTTTGTATACACAAACCAAGCACTAAGGTGATTACACTCCCATAGCAATCTCTAATAACCAAAATTTTGGAATAAAGCTCCCTAAAAACAACTTCAAACTGGCCAGAAAAATACACTCCATAACCCTACTCAAATTCTTTCTTAACTCATCCAAACTTCCATCAATTTCTATAAACACAATCATCACTCCTCATGGTAGAATTCTAACCATGAATCATCATCAATTCCACCAACAACTCTCAATACTGAAGCATATAAATACGTATAAGAAAATTCTCTACTCAAGTATTGCTGAAACCATGACTAGGGTTGGATTTATTTACCTTGATCTTGGGTAGGTCCACACTAGAATCTCTCTCTTTGGTAGACTTCCTCTTCTTCTTAAACCCTAAGCATATAAACTATAAGAATTTAACACTTTAAAATTAATCTCACATCTTATTGCTAGAATTCTTACCTTTGGATGCTAAGGATTGTAATTATACCAAAATCCAACCAAAAATCCTCTAAATTGACTTAGAAATTTGATGAAGAAATTGCGAGAATTTGGGGATGAAGGTGGCGTGTGAGGGGTAGAGAATGGTAGGGTTTTCATTCTTAAACCCTTAATATCTCATTTGTTACTTACACTTTCCCATTTTGCCCTTGTACTTTC